TCCATATAAAAAAATTTTCTTCCAGCATATTTTCCAGCTTTGTTTCTAAAGCACACTTTTTGTGCTGATCATGTTAGCAAGTTAGAAGTAACATTATTGGGGTTAGGTTGCTGGTTGTTGGAAACATTTGGAAAAGGTGTCTTGGCAACAAGAGGCTTACTTGAGGTTACTTGGAACAGCAGAAAATCCTCTTCATTGATGGCCTCGCGTTGAAGATCGCAAATAAGAGTACTAATGTTTCTCTTTTCTGCTCTTGTGCAGTTAGTTTTGCACAAGAGAGTATTTTGGCTCTTGGATCATTTCACCATCATCGGAAGCCATGTTGCCTGTTGGCTGGAATAGTGTTCTATCGCCCTCCTAGGAAATGTGACGGGTTGATCTGTTGTTTGTTGGTCCTGACAGCGTTTGCACTTCCTCTCCCAATTCATTTCCTGACCACTTTTTTGACATGCACACTGGAGCTTAGCTGTTGGAATTAGCCTCCAAGTTTGTTATTTTATTTTACTTGGTGATGGTTGGTTCGGTTGGTTTGGATTGAGTTAACAGTTGGCATCTAAGTTTATCATTTTCTCTAACTGGTGATGGGTATGTTTTTGCCTCTTTCAGTTTCAATAGTTTTTTTCTGGTAGCTACAATCTAGTAGTGTGTTAAATAGCTGTTTCAATTTGAGATATAAAGGGCACTATGAAAAAAATTGACTATTACATCATTAGTACTTCAGCAAGCCACTGTATGGTTAAATGCTGTAGAAGTCAATACTATTCAACAGAGACCCATATAAAATATTTTGATCAACATGATAAAGGCAATTGAAAATGTTGGAAAAGGCAGATAATTATACATAATCGCTTGCATGTTAAAAGCATTAGCGAGAAATAAAATTGCTTTTCTGGTGTGCATCACTGACAAAACAATTTAAAGACTGGCAAGACATTTTGAGAATCTCAATTCTGTTCTGAGAAATACACCCAGTCCACCCAGAAAAGTTGAGGGGGAAACTGTAATTTATCAATATAATATGATCAGAAAAATGGCACAAGCCCCCACAATTCACAGGATGGGCATGAGGAGGAATCTAGTTTAGACAATTATTTGGTCAAAATGCTTCTTGCTGTTTTGACAGCACTGAACTGACCTTGTTCTCCAGCTGCTCTGAAAGGGAGGTCGGTTGGTCCTTACGGCTGCGTTTGGACTTCCGTCTTGCTGTACCTTTGACCTGAGGCTCTGGTTCAGACTCTGACCAGTCAGGGGACGACAATACGTCCTCAGCCTCCACTTCCAGTTGTCTTGTTATCCGAATCCTGATGAACCAAAGCACAGAATCAGCAGAGCTGCACACATGGAGAAGGTTTCAGATGGTATCAGCAGACCTGGATCTGACCTGCGGTGTCCCATAACAATCATCCTCAGCTTGTCTCCTAAATCCTGCATCTCATGGATCTGAACAAAGGTCCCAGTGGAATAGATGGAGTCCAGGGATTCAATCACATCTGACTCATTACTGGAAGAGACAACAGCAGTCATTGAACCTGCTTGGGTCACTGATAGGTTCAAGCAGTCAGCAAATATCAAAGGACAAATCACGTCCTTTGTGAACTCAAATCAGTAGAAAAATAATAGAAGCATTTCTGACTTACTTATCATCCTTCTTCATGAAGACTCCAGCGTAAGGCTGAGCGAGCCGCACCTTCCTCCTCAGCAGCTCCATCAGGGCCTTGTTCTTCACCTAGCAGCACATGCAGGAAGAACCTGAAGCATCATTTCAGGAGACCGGTGTCTGGACGAAACTTTGAAGACGTCATCTTTTCATCACATTTTGCTGATGACTCTGTCCTCCCCCCACCAGCATCAGCTCTGTTTAGCTTGGAGTGGCTCCACCCACCTCCAACTCCACCCGGTTATTGTCTGCTTTTCATGAGATCTACTTAAAATTAAGTAACTGGCCTCTACTAGCGCCTCATAAATTAAATCAGCATCCAGCAGAGAGATGTGCAGAGCAACTGCTTTATCTCGTCATGCAGGACCGGTTCAAGTGGTATGGGTTCTCGAGCAAAATTTGATTTAGGGGCCCCTCTTCCTGCTAAGATCACCAGTACCACTAACATCATTTCACCATGGACTTAGCTTAGTAAAATCTGAGAAAGGGGCTCTTGTTTAACTGTATCTGTGGTAACAAAACAATGTAATTATGAAGATTGTTCTTTGCACTTTAACAAAGTAAACTTGCCAGGTCCTTAAAGTCTTTAATTTAAATGGAAGACGATTTAAAATCTTTTAATTTATTCTTGCTGAAACCAACAAATAAAATTTAACAGCATTGTCATTCTGAATAAACAAATGTTAAAATTCTAGCTCTGTAGTCTGTGTTAAAATGTTTGTTTATGGGGCCCCTGGAGATCTGGGTGGCCTTCAGCAGCTGCTTAATTCATTTATGTTTTGTGATCAGCAAAGCATACTTAAGAGTTTTGGAATTTAAAAATACTCATGAGCATTCCACCAGCAGGGCATTAACTTATTCGGGGTTCAACAGATGTACAAAAAATATTTATTTTAACAGTATTTTTTTGTGTGTTTATTTTAAGACTACTACTGCTTTAATTCCAAAACTACAACACCTACACTCTTCAAACCTGGACTGGATTATTCTCAACTAATAACAGAATAAAACCACGTTTGGGATTTGTGAAACTTTAATAAATGTTGATTTTACCACTTTTTTTGCATCTGGATCACACTAGAACTGATCCAGTTCCTACAATACAACTCATAGACTCTTCAAACTTGGATGAGACTATTCTGCTCTAATAGCAGAATATTAAGAACCATGTTTGGGATTTGTGAAACAGTTTTTTGATGTGTGAAACTTCAATAAAATGCAGTTTTTACCGTTTTTTGCATCTAGAATATAGTTATATATATAGAATATAGTTCATATTAAAACTGTTCTCATTCCAAAACCACTACACCTAGACACTTCATACCAGGACTATATTATTCTGCACTAATAGCAGAATATTTTAATCCATATCTGGGATTTGTGAAACCTTTCTGTGATTTGTGAAACTTCACTAAAGTTTAAATTACTATTCACACTTGTTCCATGCATTTTTTTTTTCAAATTCAAATGTAATACTAATTCAAAACCACATTATTAATGCCAATGGGACATTAAATGTTGGTGTAACTCATTAATTATTCAAAGAGTTATTGTAGATGGTGATGGCTGTTGGAAGGAAAGATCTTCTGCAGCGGTCTGTTAAGTGAAGTTTCACAAATCAGAAAAAGGTTTCACGAATCCCAAACATGGTTATAAATATTCTGATATTAGTTGAGAATAATGCAATTCAGGATTGACGTGTCTCGGTGTTGTAGTTTTCAAATTAGAGTTGATTAAAGATTCGGAAGGTAGTGAGAAATGAGGTGGAATCGGAAGCTAGAATCGGATACCAACTTCAGCTTCGTCTCCATCCGCTCTGTGACCTTGGAGCCACTGAAAACACGTAACATTACATCATCCTTACCTCAATTATCTTTATGAAACGGGGAAACACCGGGTTCCTGCTCACAGCGATCAGCGGGACGTTGGGAAACACCTCTGGGACCATCATGGGGGTGAGAGCCGTCATCTGCGGTCCGCTGTAGGGAGCTTCTCCATCCCCTCCAGACTCATCTCCTCCAGAAGCCGAGTTCTCCCCGCCGTCCTCCCCAGAGAAACCTGACCCACTGGCCCGGTTACCCAACAGCCGAGCTGGTACGCTTCGTCCACAAGGGGACATGGAGGTAGCGGTATGACCGAGGGGTACCCCCGCGACCCGAACCCAGCGGTGGTGACGAGCAAGCCTGCAGCCCACGGTCACCGGCGTGCTGCCGACGGAAGAAAGGGTGTTGAAGCGCGGTGACGGCTGCACCCGGAGCTGACCGGAGGGCTCAGTCAGATACGGAATTGCTTCGCGCCTGAACAGCTGTCCAGGCTTATAAGGCGTTCTGTGGATCCGCTGAACAGCACCAGCCATCTTCAAATAGGCGCCCATGTTTCTGGAGAGTTCTAAAACAGCACGAGACAAACTGACCTCCAACTTCCCTCTATCGTTTAACACATAAGAACTACTACCGGTTAAATGTGCCAGACTACATGTATATTACTGCCACCTGCTGACCTGGAGTACGGAACGAAAGACAGGATGAGTGATAAGAAAACTACCAGTGTTATAAATTGGTCCATCTGGATGAATTGAATCCTCAGTCAGAGTATTTATATAGATAACAAGAGTTCGATTTAAACCTGCCATAATGAAATGCCATATGTGAGCAACAACAGTGGAGAATAAAATACATATTATTCCATTTGTTAATCTGTGAATGTCATGACCTATATGTATCAATTTTTACTGGCAACCTGTCCAGGGTGACCCTGCCGCTCACCTGTTGACTGCTGGATATAGGAACCACGCTTATCCCACAAGGGATAAGCCTGATGTAAGATGTAAGATTGGTTGATCAAATCAGTCAATATCAATCATTATTGATTAGTTTTTGTTTTAAATACCTGAAATACTGTCAAACTGGTGGCATGACCTTTCTGTGATTTGTGAAACTTCTCTAAAGTTTTATTCAGTTTCCTCCAGCTGTTCTCATTTTCTTATTTACTCTACTGTTTTTTGTTTTTAAGGAGTGATGAGGCACGATGGAGAAACTTGAAACTGCTGCACAAGTTACTCAACAGGTTCCTAGATAACCAAATAAAATGAGTTAGTTGATGATACCCACCTTGCCTGGCTAGCTGTGAGAGGAGCTAAAGCTTTTCCTCTGTCTACATTCTCCAGAATGCTGTGCGGTTCTGGCTCAGAGTTCAGCTAAATTATTGAACATTCTATAAGACAAATTTTCTATTTATATTGATAACATGTCTATGTCAACATCTGTTTTCATTGTGTCAGCTCTAGACCAGAGGAGTTTTTAATTATGTGAAAAAAATAGTAATTCTTTATTGAAGTCTATTTTCTAATTTTATTCACTTCACAATTAGATTTCAAATATATATTTAGATGATATATTTATTAGTCTTCATCTTCATCTTCTTCTGATGCCTCTGCCTCCTCCAGGGCAGCTTGCTGCTCTTCTAAATCTTCTTTCAAAGCTTGCTCTTCCTCTGGGGTTGGGTCCAGGCCCTCTGTGATTTCTGGTCCATTTTGATATTCCATTAATGGTGGGGGGGGGATGGGTGGGCTGTACACTTCCCCTACATACTTCAGACCCCATCCAATATAAATGTTCTCAAACTTCCTAAGATTGGTGAAAAAGACATGTCTGTTATAGTATTACCATATAGAGAGAAAACACTAAAACAAACAGCTTCATTTCTTTCTGCATTTACTTTCCACATGCATAAGCAAATGCTCCTGGCCAGAGGTTAGAACGCAGCACAGCGATAGCATGCTGAAAAGTCAGCATGGTGGACACCTTGGAGCTCCATGGAGAAGTATTAAACATTTCTAAATACACACAAGAAAAAAAAGATAAGATTCATTTGGTTCAACAAGACTGCAGGATTTTAAAACTTTTAAAATATGCTGAACACTTCCCATAACTTGTGTCATAAAAGTGATATGATGTACCTGTTAAGTGAAAAACAGTCTCACAAAAATACCACTGATGGAGTAAGCTAGAAGACCAAAACTGTATCTGCAGCATCATGAAAACCTTTGTCTTCTGACATAATGCAACTCACACTTATGATAAGAAGAAAGTGAAAGTACTGAGCCTGCTGGGTGCTTTCTATGTCAAACATGCCACTAAAAAATGTTTGACACCCAACTGCACCCACAGTGCTCCCACATTTATATACTGGTATCCAGATTGGTAAGCAATTTACGAGTTAAATGCTTTTACAAGGGAATGTTTTTTTTTTCTAAAATAAAGCTTAATGCATAATGAAAAATAAGTGGCACAGCCAAGATACTGTGCACGACCCTTTTTATATTTTTTTATATATTTATATATAAAAATAGATAAACAAATAAATAAATACATAAATATATATAGCATAACAATAAACTTGAAGATATTCTGTTGAAGAGTCATTGCTAAAATTCACTGACCTGCATCTTGGGATAGAGGTGTGAGCAAAGCAGGTCCGACCTCTGGCTCCACCTCTTCAGACTCTTCTTCATTCTCTTCACCTTCCTCATCCTCATTAGACTCTTCATCTGGTTTCACAGCTATGTTCACCCAAGTACAGCGGCCCTGAAATCAGTGATCACTCAGTATATGTGTGGAGAAATTGAGAAAATATTCCTGTTTCTGAGAGAAGGGATTTACCTGTTGCAAGATGTGTTGGACATGATGGACCCATGTTGACAATGATTCGGCCATTTCACTAACAGGAATGTCCTCAAAATCAGGGTTCACTTCAAAGCTGTCTCGGGGTATCTCGTCTTCCTCGTCGTCTTCCTCCTCCCCTCCCTGGTAGAAACCCTGAGGGCTAACCTGTGTACCAGCAGAGATCCGAGCAATCTGTGCTCTCAGATAATTAGACTCATTCCCAGGGAATGGTGGGTAGCTTACAACGGGGCTCTCCAGGTTTCCAGTAAAGAATTTACGGATCTGACGAGCAGTGTTGATCTGTGCAGGACTAACTGAGGGGAGCTTTATCCAAGGAAGACCTGGCTCTTTGCACACGTAGTAAGCAAATTTATTGGCACCTGTTCCAATGGCCTCTTTTGGTGCATCAAGTTGGGGTTTATAAATTGATTGAGGAAGAGGATCAGCCTGAAAGAAAAACACCAAAGAGCAGAATGCACTGTTTACAAAGGAATCATCTCCTAATTATGAAGATGTGAAGGGATTAGACCTAAACTATCATGATCTACTGATGTTTATGGTTTGGTTTATTTTTGTGTTTCCTTTCTGTTTATTATTGTTCTGTTCTCTCCTTATTCAGTTCTCATCTAAATTCCAAAGAACTAAAATCATTTAATAATGGCTTATATAATAATGGCTTGTGATCTTCTCCATAGTTCATTCCTTTGTGCTTAGTTTCTTAGTTATTTATTGTGTTTTGTTTTCTGTACAAATCAGTGTTAGTCATTCCTCCATTTGTGCACTTTTTGTGTTTAGTTCCCATTGTGTTAAGTAGTGTTCCTCTTGTAGTTCCCTGGTCTCATGCTGCTACAACTGTTACACACCCCCTTTGATTGGCTCACTTGGTTCCTTTGTCATTTTCCACCCTGCCTCATTATATAAGCTGTGACTTACTGGTTCATTGATGGAGTCTAAATTGTTTCACTCTTGCCGGGTCTGTGTCATGTCATGTTTCCGTCAGAATTGTAATTCTTTATTTTTTCGTCATTACAGCTTTTCACCTCACCTTTCTGCCTCTGGCCTGCCTGAGTTCAACTAAAAACCAGTCATAACGTAAACAACTCAATTGCCTTGAATATAAAATTGTGATCAGTGACGTTACACTGATAGAAAAAAAAGGCTTCAATCTTTCCATATCTATCATTCAATAGATATATACAAACAATGGGCTAAAATAATTGCTATAACCATTTGGACCTGCATTTTATTATTATTATGATTATAATAACTATTATTATTGTCATTATAATTTATTGCTTTAATCCTTTATTGACATTTTGTATTTTATGGTAAACTGTTTGATACTGTGTTTACTGAACTGTCTGTTGTTCCTTTCGGCTCTGTCTTGTGCTTGATTGATTAGACAGATGTGCACATATTTTATCCTCTTTCATCAATACTCCAGTTGGCTAACACTGTTTTGACCGTTTGGTCTCGTTGTATTACTGCAGTATAGCAGTATGCAGTACAAGAAATAGGCACCAGCCAAGCTCACAGGGCCCTACAAGGATAAACAGGCATATCTGGATCTGTTCTACTGATGGAATAGTGCAGTGTTTCCCAACCCTGGTCCTCAAGGCTCACTGTCCTATATGTTTTAGGTTTCCCTGCTTTAATGTGCCTGATTCAATTGATTGCAGTTCAACAAACACCTGTTAACCTGCTTTGAGGACCAGGGTTGGGGAACACTGGAATAGTGGATATTTTGTCTCACCTCCACTTGCTCATTCTCAGGATTTTCAGGCTCCTTCTCCTCCTCTGCAGGTTGATCTTCAATGCTTTCTTGCTCCTCTTCTCCCTCTCTATACTCAGCTTCTGCAACAATATAGTTACTCTCTATTCCCAAAATTTTCCCCCACAGCCGGCATCGTGGAAGTCCCTCAGAGTCAACAAGATACTTAAGAGCAAGAAAAATCCTTTGCATCTCCTCTCTGCCTAAACCCACTTCAGCTTGCTCCAGATAGAAAGCAATCTCACTCACATTAGGAAGGGCCGTTTCTCCCTGGAGAAAAAAAAAAATCAAGCAGAAAGAAAGTTCATCTTCACAGAATTATAAAGCTACTTTTAAGTGTAAGTATATAAAGCCAATACCATTTCATCCTCTTGGGCTACTACTTCCTCTGGTTGGGAAAACAATATGCGCTGCTGCTCTGTCAGCAGCTCAGCAGATGAAACTTGTGGAACCTCTCGCAAAGGCCCCTGTATGCCGCTGAATAAAGCTCGCTTTATATCACGGCTCATTTCCTCAACCACATCCACAGCATTTTCAGTATGCTCGTCAATCACCTTGATGAGTAACTGTGTCAGATGTTCATAGCTGGAAGAAAAAAAGTTACTTTCAATTTACTTCAGTTTATTTATACACCAGTTCACAACAAATGTTGTCTCAAGTCATCATCTAAAAAAGTGGTAAAATGGTAAAAATGTCAATTCATCCAGTGTATAACCATTTTACCACTTCTTTTAGATGATGACTTGAGACATATCTATCTATCTATCTATCTATCTATCTATCTATCTATCTATCTATCTATCTATCTATCTATCTATCTATCTATCTATCTATCTATCTATCTATCTATCTATCTATCTATCTATCTATCTATCTATCTATCTATCTGTCATAGCGTTTAAAATAAAACTGGACACGTTAGAGAGCTGAGGTAGTTTATTTTATATCTATCTTGAACTCGAAGTAGTGATCATTGATCGGCAGCTCTATTGCAGTATAAAACATAATTATACTTGATATACAATATTATATACAGTGAGTTTTGCTCTGTATAATGATGGAAAATTACGTGTTTTTATACAAAGAAGCTAACGAAACGGTGGTGAAGATGTAAAACTGTGAGAAACACATTACTTACAGATTCCGGTTGCTCTTCGTGCTGTCCTTCATTAGAAAAGCCTTGAAAACCTCGGCGTCTCTACGTCCTAATACATTATCCATCTTCCTCAATTTCACATGGAGCAAAACTTTTTCACAAACATGCAAGCGCAAATGTTTCTATGGTTACTGAAACAGAGTCGTTGCCAGGGCGACTACTTCCACGTCACGCATTTATTTTTCTCTCTAAATTATAATAAAGATTATGCGGCCCTAAAGGTCATGGGACTTTTTTTCTTTTGCGTTACCTCGCAGATCTGTAGCAGTAATAATAATACTGGTTACAATGATCAGTTCATGCGGAATAATTGAACACTGTAAGCCTTTCTTACTTTCTGGCTCAATGTATGTTAATATGTCATTGCAGAGGCGCCGTATGGAAATGAAAATGGAAAATAAGCTTCTCGAACTTCCACGTTATAAAAGAAGATGGGAAATCAAGCAACCTGCGCTTCAAGGAGGGCTTGAAGCGCAGGTTCTGACAGAGAACCGTCAGAAACATGCTGGTGCAAACAGCCTTTACAATCTGCCCAGACTCACAGCTTTTGATATGACAAAGGAGGAAAAAACTTGAACCTTCTAATGACGAGAAGACATCTTGAGAATCAGAACTAACACTTAAGTAATGACATTTAAATATCGTAAAAGCTCCATTTATTATATCATTTCTCTGTTGGAAGAGTTTGTTAGATATTCCTGTAACTCAATTTTCAGGGTTAGAAGCTACAACTCTTTGTAGCATTTCTTTTTTAAAAGTTATTTCACTCAGTGCTTGGTGTTAAAAGAAAGGCAACTTTTTATATGTTAAGTTTTAAGCTGATTTCTGTTTTATCAAATCAACTCATTCAACTGCAAATGATACCAAATTGTGGAAAAGTCAGTGGGGGGATTAACTATGGCTGGCACATGGGACTACTCAATCAGCAGGAGTGACAATATTACAAAACAACTTCAGAATACTTTAGACACACTTAAAGTTAAAGACAAGATTGTATCAGACCATAAAACCCTCGGATCATTTCGTTCCAATTTTTACAACAAGCTCTACTCCTCTGAATACTCAGATGTAAAAGCTTCTTTACTGATCGACTCTATTAAACATTGTAACGTTATATCTGAGGCTGATAACAAAATGTGTGATGCTAACCTCACTCAACAGGAAGTAGAAGAGTTAAAAACAACAAATCACCAGGTAGTGAAGGGCTGTCAAGTGAGCTTTATAAGAAATTTGCAAAAGAACTTAGTCCCTTTATTCTCAACACTCTTTCAGAAAGTATTGGTCGTGGAGAATTGCCTCCTATTTTAACACAAGGCCTTATTACTCTCATCCCAGAGGCTGGCCAAGACAAGTTACTCATTGACACCTATTTATTTACTGGACAATGACTATAAAGTTTTTGCTGTTATTTTGGCCAGAAGAATTAAACAAACCTTCAGTTCTATTATTAAATCTCAATCAAGCTTCATGTCAGCATTAAATGCACTAGAATTAAATGTCAATACTGCTACCTGTAAAACTCTTGATAAAATGCTCTACAATTTTGTTTGAAAAGTTAAAACACATTACATCAAAGACTCTGTGATCCTAAACTCTACACTCAGCTCGTTTAAACCTTTTAGATTTCTCATCTTTAAATCGCACATTTAAAATCAATTGGATCAGAATTTTTTTTATTGAACCCTGACTTTGTGGAATTTTATCCCTAATTATATTTTCTCTAGACTTGGTGGCCTTTCATTTTTACTTAAGTCTAACTAAAACATAAAAATCTAACCCTAAAACTAGCCAATTATCACAAACAGATGCTCCTTGCCTGGTCCCTAATTTATAACCACTGTATTCCCTGAAACACTGTATTATCTCTGTTTGTGCTCCTTGTTTTATATTTCCTATTGTTTTTATTCCTTGTAACCCCTAGCATTTGCAATATGCAAAAAAACAAACGAAACAAACAAACAAAAAAAAAAAACTGGCAGTCACTATGCTGCTAAGAAAAATAATGAAGTTAGGTTTCCAAAAATAGAGAGGGAAAAAGGTAAACATAGACGCCCACTTCTGGAGTTCAGACTCGCTACTGAATTCATCTAAAACAAACAAAAAACACGACCAGAAAATTCAGTTTGGGCTTGTAGTCTCATTTTAAAGCCTTGATAATAGCCTTGATAAATCCGAACATTTGGGATTCCTGCTCAAAGCATGATGAGCTACATGTTGCAAACAGTTTGCAACATGTAGGAGTTTAGAACAAGGTCTAGTATAGGAACGGACACATGATTTTTGGAATATTGAGAGCAATCAAAATATGATTGCACCACGATACTTCCACTTCGTTTGATTCTAAACTATGTAGAGCACATCACTATACATGAGCCATCTATTCTTTGTCTATTCTCACAGTGCCCAGGATATATGACAACCAATTTATATATGTATTCCAATACTTCTAATAGCCACAAAGTCGAGAAAGACTTTGTGGCTATTAGAAGCCACTCCAGTCGACAAACTGCCAACTGACACGTCTTTGCATGGTGGCTATTAGGTCGGTCACTTCCCACCCAGGAAGAGATACTTTGGCTATCCTGTCCATCATTTTTGGATGAGAGCATGTAAATGATGAGTGATGTGGGATGAGGTTCACGAGGTTATAAAAAATACACATAAATACAACAGACCTAGTCAAGCTAAAGTGCTATCTGCTCCCCATCAACCCATGCAGTAGAGCAGAATTTCCCAACCTTGGTCCTCAAGGCATACTGACCTGCATGTTTTACATGTTCCTCTGCTTCAACACACCTCATTCAGATGACTGCAATTCAGCAAAACCCTGTTAATCAGCCATCAATTGAAACCATGTGTGTTGAAGCAGAGGAATGCCTAAAACTTGCAGGGTAGTGTGCCTTGAGGACGAGGGTTGAAAAACACAGCAGTAGAGCACTAAAAATCAATTAGCCAAAGTGTATTTTATATTATTTATTTTTTACTTTCTGTATATTTTCAGAGTGTAATCAGGGTTCCAACATATCTTTTCCAGACTAAGGTTTTCAGAATGACTAGCCTGTTACATTCACTGTGACAATGGAATACTGAAGCCCAATATGTATTTATGGAACTTGCAAAAAACAGAGATAGCCGGAAACAAGGAAGAAAATGAAAGAAAAGAAGGAAGAAACAAAGGAAGAAAAGGACTCAAGAAAGTAAGAAATGGTATTATGATTCGAAACATTTAAGAAATAAATATCTTCCACACTTTTCTGGACCTGAAAAGTATGAAGGACAACATTCCTCACGTATCCAGCTGGATTGGAACCCTGTAATGCATCAAGGCCCCAGTCATGTGAGTCACAGGGTGGTAATAATTAGCTCTCCAGATTGACCAGTCCATCTGCATACTGGAACTTATCACTGTTTTCATATTCCAGCATGTCCAGGGCAACTTCACAACTTTCCTTGACAACACGTTCTTGGTCTCTACGGTAACTATGCAGCACAGCCAGACACTCCTCTTTCCCAATCGACCCAAGAGCCTCTGCTGCCTCATGTCGGACCATTGGGTTCTCCTTAGAATGCTCCAGAGCTTCCCGTAGTGCTGGTATGGCTGCTGGGTGTTGGATCTGGCCCAGAACATACCCAATCTCATGACGGAATAAAGCGCTGGAGCACTGCAGCCCTAGAGAGAAAGATGTTACAAGTTTATTGCTGGGATGAACCATTTGGTGTGTCATCACATGCACTTCTAGGCCTCCTGCCTTTTTCTCTTTCTATTAATGACACTTATGAATGACAGTTCCAGTGTTAAGTGCCTCTGCTTTTGTGCTGAGTCCAGGTGGCTGACACGTCTCTCTGTAGGCCCCTGTCCTAATCGAGTACTGTTTTCCAGTTGTTAAAACTGGTAATGGTAAAAACATCATTACAGCAATAGCATTGCTATATTTCTGACAGAGAAAACAAAAGCATGCATTTCCCTTAACAGAGTATTCTAACCATGCTTGTGTGTTGTACCAGGAAGGACTTAACATCGTAACACTGGCGAAGTGTTATGATTTTTATTTGGTACATCTTAGTGACATACAGAATGCACACTTTGGGTAGCTACCCAGTATTGGTCAAGATGGTTCACTGTTATTTAAATCTCTAGGTAGACCTTGCTTAGCAGGCTGTATTGGGAGAACTACACTTGTGGGAGAAATGGCTGATGGTTGTATTTTGCATCTCGTCTGATTCAGCTTGCAACACACATTTGCCAAAGCTGATCCAAAGTTAGAAATATTCCATTGGGAAACCAGTGCTCTTGACATTCAAAATGGCACTGCAGTTACAGCATAAATGCGGCAAGTAGGATTCCATGTTTGTTTTTTCCAGGTCTGTGCTCTGGGAAAAAAACTCCTATTTCTGTGAAATAGGGGCAGTGGTTATCATAATTTGTTTTGCTAACTAATGTCTGCCTTGTCTGCTTGCAAAACACCATAATGTGAAAGCAAACCACACCAATTAAAAAAAATAACATCAGCTTTTGGTCCTGACCAAACAAGCGGACCAAATGACTTTCTTGGTGAGAATACACCCCTTGATTTATTTGCAGACTTCCGTGACCGACCTACCATCACCCAGGGCAACAACAGCCTCCTCTGTTCCCAGATTCCGTAATGCAAACATAGCCCGGTAGCGTTCAAACAGCGGCAAACTTTCATCTAGCAGCACAGAGCGTAGCTCTGGTATGCTCTTTCTGGATGCTGGAGGAGCTGGGTCTATGGAGCAGTATGGATTCTTATCGGTACCGCCATCCTCCAGCTGTGTCTCCCCGCCACTAAGAAGCCACTCTAGTCGACAAACTGCCAACTGACACGTCTCTGCTACCTGAAAATCAGAGGGAAAATACGCACAAATAAGTTTTGCCATTAAGCTACTATGGACACTGAAAGAAGGGTATCAGCAATGTAAGACTTTTAATTGATTTAAATACATTTTTAATGTTACTTTGAATTAAATTTCTTATTTTGTAATAAGAACAATCAAGCATAGCAAAACCTTCATAATTCCATCTTAAAAGTCTTCTTTTTTTATTTTGACGGAATGTTTTTAGACACGTATGAGTTGGTAAAAGTGAGCCAGTGGCAAAAACTAACGTCATCAACCCAACTGACCATAAATTTGCACTTATACATGACAGACATTGAAAAGCTAAAT